AAGGTGGGAAGCTGTCTAGGCTGCAGGGCTATGCAAGCAGAGGGCTGTAGGTAGAGAGAATAGCTGGGCGTCATTTTGAGAGGAATGATGAACGTTGACTATTAGAGCAGTGTTGCACCCTTCCCCCATGGGGGTCTGCTGACCAGCTTGTGACTAGGAGCTTCTAGCAAAACACCTCTTGTCCCCTCCTCCCAGTAAGGCCAGCATGCAAGTTCCTGTTCTCTGTCCATCCTTATTGTCTAAATGCTAATTCCTGTTTTTGGCCCACCCTTTGCCGGAGGGCCCTGGGGACCGTAGGCTTCTGACTTTGGTGATTTTCCACCGTACCTGCCACTGGTGTATAAGGCTGCACTCTTGTTAAAATAAACGCCATTCTCCTTGTAAGAATGAGCTGCTATCTTTATCTTCATTTACATCCTTAGCCCTTGGCTTGGCTTGTTGTGAAGTGTTGTAGTGCTCTAACTGCGAACACTGGCTCGCTACAGACCAGCAGGGCTGCAGCCCAGTGATAGAGGATAGATAGTGTGGGAATATGACACCTAAGAGGTGACAGGTGACCACAAGGAGCAGAAGGCAAGGGCTTAGACCTGTGAGGACTTGCCTAATGGGAGCCTTGGAGACGGGGCAAGGACGGGACATGGCCTGGAATGCTCAAACAGGATTAACTTTCTGAAAACAGGCTGGATGTGCCCCAAGGGCTGGTCTGGGAGAGCTGTGGTGAGGCCATAGGCCTGAGCCAGGGCGTGGAACAGAGGAGGGGCCTGGTGTGGCCATTCCCGCAGGATTCGCCGAGAAGTGAGGCATAGGGGGAAGGCAGGCACGCTGCAGCCTGGACACATGGACATGAGTGTGTGTGGGCAGGGGTGTGCGTGGACAGGAGTGTGCATGGGCACACTAAGGTGGGCAGAATGTGACCTAACAGTTCTGGCTAAGTGTGCAAGGGTGGACTGTGCGTTCAAAAGACTTTATGGTTCTACAGGCTGCTGCAGTCCAATACTTTTTGGATCTGTATAAATGAAAACGTGTCTCACAAGTATCACAAAGTAGGAACAGAGTGCCATCAAAGGAACTGTGCTTTCTTCTGTAGTGTCTCTCTGGACCTGGCGTGCCCCACACTGTTCCTGCTTTGGGGTTGTGCGACTTTGACATCACAGGCTACACTCACACAGCAGGGTGCACCCTCACATGGGACAGAGGGCTCTTCTGAGCTGATTCTCCCAGGTGGAGCCTTCTCCTCGGCCATGGGTTTGAACACATGTATGTGTTGGTGTGTCTAGTCAAAACCTCAATGAGACTGACGAGGTAGCCCCTTGCCTAAAGATGCTTGCTGCCTGGACTGATGGCCTGAGTTCAATTCCTGGGACTCAGATGGTGGGAGAAGAGAACTAACTCCCACGAGTTATTCTCTGACCTCCAGTCACATGCATACATGTGCGTGCACGCGGGCACACACACATACACACACGCACACAATTAATTACAATTTAAAAGTTGTAAAGATCATAATGAAAGGGTCAGGACTCTCTGGAGAAACTCCCATATGGAGCAGAGCTGCAGACTCAGCAACTCAGATGACCTGCACGCCCCTCCCCCACTAGCCTCACCTCACCAGGCCTCTGGCCTGTGCTGTGGCATCTCCTCTTGGCCCTTCTCCTAGCTCACCTGGCCTCCTCCCCACTTTTCTTCCTCTTCCAGCATGCAGACCCTTCCAGGCGCCAAACCACCCAAGCCAACCTGTCTCTTTCAGCCCCCACTGCCTCCACTGTAGTCCAGTCTCCTGAATTAATCTTGCCCTCTTCCTCCTCCTGGCCTCACCCCTGCCCTGCTCACGCCCCCCTCCCTCCTGGTGCATTACTGCAGTCTTAGCTAAGATAGGAAGTGGCAGGTGGTTTTCTAGAGCTCTTTTTGTCATTTAGCAATGTGCTGACACAGGAATCCATGTGTCTCTGCCCTCCTTCCCGGAGGCCCTAGCATCTAGAGCGTAATGCATTTGGAGTCACTGGGCTCATCCCTTACTCATCTGAAGCCTTCTGAGACCTACTGTGTGCAGAGTGTCAGGTGTAGGCTCCCAGTCAGACTCAGGGAGCCCCTCCCTGAGAGAACCCTAGTGAACTGTGCACCAGGACCCAGGATGAGAGCCCGGGGGACCATTCCAGGGGCTAGCCCCAACCGTATAAGTTCCTGACACAGTAACCGTATAAGTTACTGTGTCTGCCTGCAAGTCCATCTATAGCCTGGTCTGCGGAGCTGTGGGGTGGGTCATCAGGCGATGTCCATCTCTTCAACTATTTGGGGACCAGCACCTTTGCCGGCCCAGATGAGGGATGACACACATTCAGTGACACAGCTGACTCCTGACCCCACATCTGCTATGACTACTAATGCACCTGACATTTTATTTTGATCAAGGAGATAGCATCTCAGTCCCTTTACTGTGAAGCCAATTTTGCACAACCTGAAAAGAACCCACAGCCCTGCCTGTGGGGATGTGCAGAATGGTGAAATCAGTATGCCCACGTGTGCTCCCAGACACCTGTGGACCCAATGGAGTCCCGAGGGTCATGCCACCCTTGTGTGAGATCTATTCATATGCAATTTTGGACACATGTAGGTGGCCCAAAAGCTTTTCACAGCACACCCCGTTCCCACAAAGACTGGTTCCCAGTGGCTCAAAAGTAAAGGGCAGGGTGCTGCCCCTGTGTGAGCCCGGTGGGAAGGCTGCAGCTCACGGTCACTGAGGCCTCCCATTGCCACTGTGGCAGGCAAGCCAGGGCTGACCTGAGAGAGAAGGCGGTGACCTCAGGGAGCCGACCCTGCCTGATCTCACCATCCGTAATGCCCTCCACCTCTGGAATTTTGAAGGATGGAGCCTTCAAAATGCTGTTTACAGAGATCTCTGTCCTTTATGGCCACCAGCCACCAGCTTCTGGCTCTGGTGTCACACAACACACCCAGCAGACTACAGCCCAAACCTCCCAGGTTGTCTCCGTGAACTCTGTACCCACCCAGAGCCAGCCTGCCCTTTATGTCTGGATGTTACAGTTAGACTAAAGACTGCCCAGGTCATTCTGAAGTCATACTGTCCTGTGCCTAGGGTGACCCGTGGGACAGGAAGGCCCTGGAGAAACAATAACCACCATGGTAGGGAGGGAAGCAAGGTTATCCTACCACCAGCTGCCGATGTCCTAGGCTGACAGAACACCAAAGCGAGTCACCATGCTGGGGCATCCTGGGCTTCTCCTGTTAAAGCAGGGTTCACGTCCTCAGCTACAGTGAACTTCCACGTGGGCAGATAAATGAACTTTTGAGATACCCCTTGCCCCAGCAGCAGGGCAACCTGATTGCTACTTCAACAAGTTTCTGGTCACCTGGATTTCTGGCTTCTCTGCTGAAGCAAAGGGCTTTGGGGAAATTATATTTATTTGGTCCCACTACCTTCAAAGATTGTTATCACACACGCCTGCCCATCTTGACAGGATCACGTCCCCCAGAGTCCTGTCCTGGGTTCTCTCTGTGGTCCTCTCTTCCCACCTCTAAGATAAGGAGATAAGATGGGCACTGATGGGCATCGTCCCGGCCCCAAAGCCTGGCCACCAGAGACGCATCCATGGTGGAAGTTTGCAGTGCGCTGTCCAAGGCTGAGCTGGCCTGGCTCAGGGTCCCCTCACTGGGAAACGTTCTGTCTTCAGGGACACCTGGTAGCCTCCCTTCCCAGGTGACAGCAAATACTTCAGGCCTGTGATGCTCTCGGGCAAAGAAAATGCTGGAACCAAGAAAATAGCTGCAGTTTGAGGCCACTGTAGAGTGCTGCCTGGTTTCCGCTGAGCTATTAGCGGTAAGAGCTCGAGTGATGGACACTTGGCATCGGCTCTTTCCATAGCCATGGGGGCAGTGACAGTTTCTCAATTCGGTTCAATCAGGACAGGCTAACACAAGGTCAGTGTTCATAGCCCAGGGTTCCTGGAGGGGAATAGATCTCATAATTAATTTTTCGTAATCTTACAACCAAGATTAATTACTGAGACATGATGAAAACACAAAGAAATTATTGGAAAATCATCCAGGCAGCTGAAAGCACTGTAGTGCTAAACTGGAGTCTTTGGACCTGAAGAGATTGTGTTTAACGCCTGGCTTCCCCATGTGCCTGCCCCATGGCCCTGGAGAGGGCTCCTACCCGAGGACATTTCATACCTGACAGAGTCACTAAGGCAATCAGTGACTTGAGAGCTCACTCACCTGAAAACGTCACTCACCAGTGGTCAGTCTCTCCGATGCACAGGCTTCAGCGAGGACTTCAGGAGACCTACCAAAAACCCAGTTCCTGCTAACGGCTTCTTCATCTCAATTGTTAAAAAGACAGTTTTGGGAACCGCACAAGTCCTCCTGAGCAGAGTCTAGGATTTATAAGGGCCACGTGACTCTGGAGAGTGTCACAGTGTGGAATTGTCACCATAAAGCATGCAGTGCTGGCCCTCAACATAGATGTCTGGATGTCTGTACAGACAGACAGGAAGTGAGGTGGCTGGGCAAAGAGAGGAATGTAAAACAGGAGACAGGAGCTCACTCTTTTTTCAGTCTGAGGATTTCATAGACTTAAGAGCTTTAGTGGCTGACTACTGTACTTCTCTGATCTTCAGGCAAGCTTTATTTGCTAGAGTATAAACAAGATATCACCACACCTTTCCCTTCACTCTCCCTGGTCAGCAGTGACAAACCAGCTCCTAAAGCAAATCCAGACATGGAGCTAACCTCCACGAAGGGCGGGCTGCTGAGGCCAAGCACTCAAAACCGAAGCCCCTTCTCCAGAGCCACTGCCAGGACAGTGCAGAGCGCAACCTCTGCCCCAGAGAGCACCATGAATGGGGGGGGGCATATGGAGCCAAAGGGAACCTCTCTGTCCCTCCACCAGCACTTACTGATGGGCTGTTCCGTGCAGGAGACTTTGTTGGTAGAGAGGGGAGGGGACTGTGTCTTCCTTTCAGGCCTCTGCCTTCTTACAGGTCCCAGTCTTGCTGAAAGGACCACAGTCCCGGGCTGAAGCCTCAAGGTTGCGTCCAGTCACCAAGCACACATGGTCATTCCCTTCACCTCTTGACCGCTGTCCCACGTTCTTCGTGAACCCACTTCCTCCCCAGGTAACGCCATCCATTGTTAGAGCACTTCAGAAGGTCTTCTGTTCGCAAGCAGGGCCTGGAGGGAGTGGGGTTGGGGGGCTGGTCCTCACGGCCTGCTGGGGAACAGGAAGGGGACCTAACTTCCATTCCCTTCCTCAACACACTCTAGAGGAGCTGAAATCCGTGCCAAATAGGGGTGCTCAGCGTATAAAGGCAATCCCCGTGGTCCTAAGAGTCCTCCCCAACACAACTGCCCTCTGAGTCCCAGAGGTGGAGAAATCTTAGAGTCTGCTTCCCTACCAACAGTCCACCCTCTCATGGACACAGAAGACCCATTGGGACCCAGCAGTCCTGTTTTCTAGAGGAGTCCCCTGTGCCCTGAATAGCTATCCACAAGGACACCAGGACACTTCCTATTGGGAAAGGCTACAGCATCCTTCAGGTGAGCCTCCCCTGATCAAGGGCTCCCTGGTGGTTCTCAGTAGCTCTGTCTCATCCTGTGACCCATGTGCTCCTGAATTGTCTCCTATCTGGAAAGCTCCCCTGAGAGCCAGTCCCTACCAGTGCGGACCCCAAATGCCCAGACCAAGTGAAAGGAGTCTGGGCCCATAGCACTGTGCCCGCTTGTCCCTCAAGTCTGAGTTCCTGCAGAGGGAAACATAGAGGCCACGGGTAGGCTGCTAAAAGGGCAGAGAGGGGCCCCTGGGACTATGAACTGTGGGCCAGTCCTGGCCAGAGCAGGGGCTGTAGGAGTTTAAAGCACTGAGGTGGGGTCTAATAGGGGACTGGATGGGGAGGATTCATAAGAGGGAAGGTAAAGCCTGGAGTTCTACAGGTGAAGGAGTTAGAGACCAAACCTACAACCCTCAGCAACAGCATCCTCCCCACCAGAAAGCTCAAGGTGTCCTGATCGCATGGCCTGTCAGCCTTCTTCCCAGTGGATTACAACTCATCTGGTCCTTCCTCTCCACTTCCTGATGAGAACTGAGTAAGATGAAGAACTGGACAGGGAAAGTGAGCACAGGGAGGATGAGGGTGAGGAGGGAGAAGTCGGGGAGTGATGTGGGCATACGTGAGCATGTGTGTGCAACTATATGCACACATGGGGTAGTCATATGTGAGCGTGCGTGTGTGCGTGTGTGTGTGTGTGGAGGCACAGTGAGTTTAGAAAAGCAGGAGCCTGACTCCGACCCAGCTACTGGGTTGTTTTGTTTTGCTTTTTCTTTTCCCACTTCCTGTGTGGAATGAGAATCAGATCATCTTCATAGTCACAATGTGGTCATGCAGAGATTTTGTTCATGGATGAGGAGGGGAATCTAGAGAAAAATTATATTTGTGTTTTTCAAAGCCTGGGTCTTCCCTCACCTGCCACTGGGGAAGCCATGTCAAGGTGCAGAAAGCACAGTCTATGCCGAGGACCCCAGAGCAGCCTCCCTGGGTAACCAGGTTTCAGGGCACATTGCTAAGGCGTATTTCTGTACCAGTGAGGACCTTGGTCCAGCTGTGGTTTTCTGAGAATGGACAGCTGTGGTTTTCTGAGCCCACAAGGCCCGGGTTCCTGTTTCACCCAGTAGGCAGCTCCCATCCACTGGTGCCACTGGGACTCAGTGACATGTTTACATGGAGCTGTGAGGCTAGGGGGAAGATGGGGAGTCAGAGAACCCCACTGCTTAAAGACCCCCTGAAGGCTACAAAGTCTTACTTCTCTTTCTGGACATTGAACAGTACAGAGTAACGTGGCCACACTGAGCTGCAAGGGAGGCTGGGAAGAGCAGGATTTCTTCTGAATGTAGGGCTCTACCTGCATTTAAACCTCAGGTCCTCAGCTGGGAAGAGCTGAGCTGGCAAAGTGCACATGCACGTGCACACACATGTGCAACCACACACAGACTCTTACACACACAAGTGCAACCACACACAGACTCACACACATGTGCAACCACACACAGACTCACACACATGTGCAACCACACACAGACTCATACACACATGCAACCACACACAAACTCACACACACATGTGCAACCACACACAGACTCACACACATGTGCAACCACACACAGACTCACACACGTGCAACCACATACAGACTCACACACGTGCAACCACATACAGACTCACACACATGTGCAACCACACACAGACTCACACACACACACGTGCAACCACACACAGACTCATACACGCACCTGTGAATTCCAGGAAAGGCAGGGAGGTAGAGAGAGCAAGTGCAGTCCTGACACAAAGGCACTGGTTAAATGAAGCAGCTGCTACTGAAACCCTGGCTACACCAAGGCCAGTGGGAAACTAAGCAAATACAACTGTGTGGCGGCAACTCTCCATAGACGCACTCCATGTCCACAAAGACTGTCCATCTGGAACATTCTCTGTGTCGTCTGCACACCCTTTCCCATTGTGACGCTGAAGGCTTTTCCTTCGAGAAATGAGTGGTTTAGGGAAAGTTTGCTTTTCCACTGCTGTGGTAAAACACTGGCCAAAAGCACCTGAGGGTGGGGGAGGGAAGGGCTTATTTGGCTTACAGCCAGCCATTAAGGAAAGCCAGGAGCTTAAGCGGGAAGCCGAGGCAGGACCTGAAACAGAGACCATGGGCAACGCTGGCTGCTTACAGACTGGCTCCCTGGCTGTGCTTAGCTTTCTTATACGGCCCCAAAGCACCTGCCTAGGGATGTCACCGCCCACAGTGGGCTGGGTCCTTCTACATCAATGAGCAATACAGAAAATAACCCACAGATGTGGCCAATTTCTCAGCCGGGGTTCCCTCTTACTGGGTGTGTCAGGTTGACAACCAAGCTTAGACAACACAGCATAAAGCTCTACACAGATGTTCTGGCATCTCATTGGCATGCCTTTGGGATGGACCGTGAGAGGGGGAGCCCGTGATCTCCCAGTTAGAACCAGAGCTGACTAAGTCAGGCCTCAGCCAAGCAGGCTCCTTCTTCCACAGGCCTCCCACTCTTTGTGGCATCCCAGATGGAGGCACAGTAAGTGTGACTGCCATCCGGAACACCTGTGAGGAATCTCCTAGGCAGGGGGCGGGGCCTCTTCCCCTGTGCAAGAGGAAGAACCGGTGACATTGAAGAGGCTGCCCTCCCTTTTGAGTCCCTCCTGGCTCTGCCCACAGGAAGCTGGCTGTTTGCCTGAGCCTCTTGTTTTCCTCTATTTGGTTTTTATACTTTCCAAATATGATATAAAAGCAAGATGCACACACAGTGAATAATTGTAACACTTGCAGTGGGGTGGGGTGGAGGAGGTGGGGGGTGGGGGGTGTTCTCTTTTAACCACATCATTGCGGTTCCCAAAATGTTCTTGCAATTGAAGGACACAAAAGGGCCTATTCTTGGAAGAGGAGGTGATGACCACTTCCAGAATGGAGCAGGCATTTGAACTCAGTTGTTTATACAGGCACACGTATGGGTGTGTGTGTGTGTGTGTGTGTGTGTGTGTGTGTGTTTTAATCAGGTCTTCTGTGCTGTGTGTTCTGATATTTCAGCACCTAAGGTCTTTGCTGAGCCCTGGAGATCTGATTTTGCCATGGTGGCTGACCTCAGTGCACCTGATTTTGCCTGCAGTGTCTTCTTACTCAGTGCAAACCAGATCCAGCCCAGACACACATTCATCACCTTCCTTGTCGGGCACCAGGTCACTGCGTATCTATCTGCCCTAACCACTCCTAAGGTCAGGCACAGCTAGGGACAGCCCAGAGTCCTCCTATACCTGCTTGGCCTGCCTCACCCTGGGTTCCTGCAAAGGCCATCCTAATAGTGCCTGTCTGCCTTCTCCAACCGTAGCACTTCCCAGGTGGCCCCATGTTGTGTACTGGTTCCTGCTTCGAGGGACCAGTGAGTATAACTTCTTCCCTTGTGACAATCTTCTCTGTGTCCATGTGTATCACACTGGAGAAAAACCAGTCCCAACACAGCACATGATGGAAACCATATGCTTCTGTGTCCCATTCAGCAGGCCACACAGGACAATTGCATGTCCCTTGGCCCCTGTTGTGTGTCTAGACAATGTTTGACTTTGCATCACAAAAGGCGCCCTGTGATGTCAGAGGCGCCATGAATCACAGTGACAGCTCCCCTGGTATCCAAGAGACCTCCCCTGGCTGCTAAGTCACCACCACCACCACCACCACCCACTGTGAGAAAGTCACTGTACTGAGCCTCAGCTGAAGGGCCTGGATTCCACGTGGAATGACCCACATTGTGTCCTCTAAGGACCAGTCAGCCTCTGGCTAATTTGCTGCCTCTGAGTGTCCTGGGAACCCGTGCTGTTTGCTCCCATCTGGAGCCTCTGTGGCTAGGCTGAGCACTTGCTGCCCTGGTCAGGGTTTCCATAGCCGCCTCCAGGAGCTCCAGGCTCTGGGACCAGGCTGCTGCAGACTGTGAATGAGGCCTCTCCTCTGCCCTCTGTGCCCCTACCATCTGTACCACTAAGCAGCCCTGTCCTGCTCTTTCAAGTGAGTTTGTTGATATTTCTCCTTCTCTGATAGCTGGAGGGACAAATGACTTGCTCACCAAATATGTGTGCCTGAAACCCAGGTCCACTCCTCCTGCACACGGGACAATGGATGGTCCTACTCTTTTTGGTAGAGAAAACTCCAGAAAAGTGCATAGTCTCAGCCCACCTATTTCACCCAAAGAGGGGTGGGGCTAGGTATAATAGACACATCTTTGATCACAGCAGGGGCACGTAGACCTGTAAGTTACAGGCCAGTCAGGACTACATAGTGAAATCCTGTCTCAAAAAAAAAAAAAAGAAAAAGAAAAAGAAAAAGAAAGAAAGAAAAGAAAACAAAAGAGAAAGAAAGAAAAGAAAACAAACAAAAGATGCCCTTTACCTTTACACTATTTCCCCTGGTGTTTGTCCCAGCAGCAGAGACATCTGGCTCCCACACTCTGCAAACACAATGGAAGATCTCTGAAGACAGGGCCTTTCTGCTTTCATCCTTATTCCCCAGTGCCTGGGATGGTTGGTACCCTATAGATGCTTCTTGAAGAATTCAGTGAAAGACAGCATGTGTGAGGAACAATAGCTGCTCGCGCTTGCCCGTCTGACGTGCTCCCAGCATCACAATATATCTTGGGCACATGCACATTTTTGACCATCTGCCTCTCTGGTTGGCAGGCAGCTCCATATTCCTACACTGCGGATGGGCCGTTCTGTTAGCAGCAGACTTACTCTGATGAATACGGACAGGAACAGGACTTCCTAAGACAGAGAGGCCAGCTGAGCGATCGCCCGGAGGAAAATCCGGCTTAGAAATGGGAAAGCCACAGGGCTCGTGAGACAGCCCAACAAGCAAAAGCACTTCCCACACATGTGTGAGGACCTGGGTTCAAATCCCCAGAACCTCGGAGAGCAATGAGTCTGTAATTCAGGCATTTCTGCAAGGAGGTGGGTAGAATGGGGGCTGGAGAGGTGGCTCAGTTGTTAAGGGAACTACTCACTGTCTGCTCTTGCAGAGGATAGCACTTTGGTTCCTGGTTACTACTTGGCAGCTCACAATATCTGTAACTCCAGTTCCAGGGGATCCAACACCATCCTCTGTCCTCCACGGGCACCAGGTTTGCATGTAGTACACATACATGCAGGGGAAAAACTCAATCACATAAATAAAATAAATATAAAATAAAACGAGAGGAATAGACATATGAATTCCAATACAGTGTATACAAACACTTGTAGGCCAGGAGCTGGGAGCACACAGCACCAAAACACAAGAGACCCTGACTCAAAGGAAAAGGGAGTCAGGGACTGAGGCCTGGATTGTATTCTGGCCTTCTGATTGCTACACATGTCCCATGGCACAAATACACTCACACTTCACTCACACACACACACACACACACATTACACACACATCACATACACAGCACACTCACACAGACACACATATTACATCATTTAAAAAAGTTATGCAACCAAACAGTCCAAGGCTCTCAGTCCCCAAAGCTGCTCACATGATGAGAGAGGGAGAGGAAGGAGAACAGGAGGGGTGGGGGAAGAGGAAGAGGAGGGAGAGTAGGAGGGGTGGGAAGAGGAAGGAGAACAGGACGGGTGGGGGAAGAGGGAGAGGAGGGAGAGCAGCGGGGGTAGGATACTCCTTAAGGACTTTGCAGGTGGCCATGGTTTTAAAGCTGGCTTCTGTCTAAGCCACTGACTGTGCAGCACCAGATGTCTGCAATACACCCATCCCTTCATCATCTCTGTCCCTGGTGGTGACAGGCAGCACGATGCCCACAGTCACAAAGGCCTCCTCTTAAAGCCGTGAGGAGATGGCTGAGCGCTTGCTCTTGGTGCTTATCTGTCCCTGCTCAGCAAAGTCGCCTTCAAGATCAACATGGTTGCATCCGAAAGAGTTCTTGTGCTAAATGTCAGACGTTGGCACAGTCTCTGCCGGTGTGGAGTTCCCATTCCCGAAAGAGGACACAGACAGATACGGGAGTAGTATTCACGCATCAAGGCTAACCCTTCCTCCCCTTCCTGGTCTCTGTCACCAGTGTCCACACAGCATCGTCACCACAACAACGAAGAAGAAAATGGACATGGTTCCTATGTCATGGACAGTTCATTTGAGGACGAGGTTGGGGAGGGGGACATTTTAACCAAATGGTTATTCAAACAAATGGGAAAAGGAACCAAAGGCAAACATGGCACCAAAGACAACAAGGTCACAATGCGTCCCCACTTCCAATCTTGTTCATTTTCCCAGCATCAGTGGGCAGTGGTGGCACATGCCTTTAATCCCAGCACTCGGGAGGCAGAGGCAGACGGATCTCTGTGAGTTTAAGGCCAGCCTGGTCTACAGAGCGAGTTCCAGGACAGGCTCCAAAGCTACACAGAGAAACCTTGTCTCAAAAAACCTATAAATAATTAATCAAACAAATAAATTCCAGTGCCCCATAGGACTCACAGTGATACAGACCCAGGAGACCGCTCTGGTCTTCTGACGTTGCATCATGACTCTGGCCCATCCACACACACCTTTCTCTGTTTCTCACTCTTTATTTAGGCAACTGTTGTTTCAAGCATTGGCTACACACGGCCAAACCCCAGGGGATAGCACATGCTCAGGGCTGTCATGGCTTCTATAGGAAAGGTGAAGCAGACAGGCAGACTGGTGCACTCTCTACAGGCTGAGACTGCTTTATTGGAACAGGAAAGGGCCCCATCTTTCTGGGGTAGCGACATATGGGGACCTGCTGGCCAGTTACAGCTTTTTTGTGTTGTTTGACTGGGAATGGAATGGGTAGTCTTCCATATCCAGGCATATTATCTCTGCAGTGGACCTGAATGGTCAAGATGGGGCTAAACCACTCTATATGGCCATGGGATATTGCCAGACTCAGTCCCTTGTGACCTGAGGCTATTATCCAACAGCTTGACTCTTAAATGTCCCCACAGGCTCATGATCCCCACTGGTAGTGCTGTTTTGGGAGTTTCTAGAAAGTTTAAGAGGTAGAGCATAACTAGGAAAGCCGGTCACTAACATGTCTTTGAAGGTTATTCTCCTTTTCTCTCCCTCCCTGCCCCCGCCCTGTGTCTCTATCTCTCTCATTCCTGTCTGCCATGATGTCCTGCCTCAGTGAGGGCCCAGAATCAGCAGAGCTGAGGACTGTGTATTGAACCCTGACCTGCCAGAGCTAGCCCCTATTCCCTTAGATTGAGTCTTCTGTCTGGTGAGTGGTATGGCCACGAAGAGCCTACCACGGGAGCAGCCATCTGTCTTGAGTGCAGAAGTTAAGGCGCAATTTACCATCAGGCTGCATGTGTGAATCTGAAGTGTGATACAGTCCACTGGCGTCACTGATACCAGTGGGGGACTGTCCACAGTGGGGGACACAGGATGGTGGGTATTGGGGTGTTGGGGCAGATGCGGTGGAGACTGTCTTCCCAAAGTGTGAAGGACTCCAGGCTTCTTCTCCAAACCCCTTGTGACACCGAGACTGTAAGAAGATGGTCTATCCAGCTAGAGACTGAGGCTGAGGTTAAATGGCCCCCAAACGTCCCCACATGGATTCCCTGGGTTACCCACAGGGTCACTTTCCCAGACCTCTGCTTTCTTATCTAGGATACAAAACAATTAAACCCTGGAGCTTCTGGCTTTACTATACCACCCACCCCAGCTCTCAATGACTGGCACATCTGCCCCAGGTCAAACAGCCTGAGGTGGCAAACCTTGGACACATATAT